GCATTTGCGCAGGACAGAGTCATTGTTTCCCGATAGTGTTAGGCTGTGGTAGAGTAACAGTGCGGTTTGTTTGTTTCTCATGGATGAATACCTATCCAAAGGTGGTCTTTCACTGGTGGGACAAAGCAAGAGCTCCCAGTATGTTTACCTTTTTATTTGTACAGAAGACTCGCTTTGTAGTAGCTTAATCTATTCAGGAAACATCACAGAAGTAAGCATTTATACAGGTGATTACTCATATAGAGAGGGACTCCTTAGTGGTGTTATGAGGCCTGCCGCTCTAGGAAGAGCCTGAATCACTTGGGAACTGCCTCAGGATTGTGTTCTTTATACATATGGGGAATGGAAGGAGGAGAGAGATTATAGAACACATTCAAGTCTTTGTATTACGAACTCATTGTAGGACACGATTACATAGATACTATTTTTTTTGATAGGGAAAAATAAATTATTTGGCTCTTGTGACAGCCCAGAGTTTGTTTCCAGGAAAAAAGAGTCAAGGGGGGAGGGCGGGGGGGAATTACTCATGCTTTCTGTATTAACTAATTCTAACGAATATATATTAACTAATCCTACAGTAGTGGGGAGCTCCGGTGGCTTAGTGGTGAGGAGTTGTGCTGCCAATCCAAAGGCATGCAGTTCAAATGCACCAGCTACTCCCCTTAAGAGAGATGAGCAATCTCCGGTGTGATTAACAACCTGTGAAAACGCATTGGGGGGTCATCTGTGGGTTATTTCCAACTCAGCGATACACAACAACCACAACATAGAATAGTAGGCCTTCTAGTGGCATAGTCTATCTATTGTTGCTTTTTTAACCAAAAGTCTAGGTGTCTGGAAGTTCAAATCCATCAGCAGCTCCACAGGAAAAAGATGGGCAGTCTTTGCCTCTTAAATTTACAGCCTCAGAAACCTGATGGAGGATTGCCATGAAGCTGAACTGACTTGATGGCAGTGACTGACTTAAAAGGAATAGGTGAATTGTTGTTCTTAGTATCTGAGAAACTTGGATCTGGGAGCAATGGTACCTGCAAGTGGCACCTCAGCCTTTATTTCTTGAGTCTTACTGGCTGTGTAAGAAAGACGGTTATCTGTCACAAACAGTTCACTTTCAAGTGGGACAGGAAGCTCATGTTTGATTAGTGACCTGACTTAAAGACCTTCCTTCTCTTGGGATTGCATATATCAAAACAAACAAAAAAGCAGATTACAAGGATACACCTCATTATTCTAAAGTTTTGATTTAGAATTACAGTAGAGCAAACAGCTTAATCAGAGAAGGGATGGCTTTGTAAAGGTTTTTTCAAAAAGCAATCCTTCTAACTTTGCACTTTGCTTACTTTTCAAACTGTTCCCATCTTTCACTGGTGGAGCAAAGCGGGAGTGCCCAGTATGTGATACGCTCAACAGTTTTGACCGATGTTAATTACTGTATTCTCTATGTCTAAATTGGGAGTTCTGGTGGCTTACTGGTAAGGAATTTCACTGCCAATGCCAAGGTACACAACTCAAAGCTACCAGCTGCTCCATGGAAGAAAGATGGGCAGTCAATTCTACTATCATTTGCTGTCAGCTTTGGGTGGGTTCCACCTCAGCAGTACACCACAGCAACAACAGTCTGTAAGTTGTAAACATTGTTTAAAATATATGCAAGCAAGCTATACAACTTAATGTCCATTGTAGTCTCTCTATAGAGCATATGAAAAGTAAATATTATCTAATTCATTTAAGAAGTTCATCTTCTTAGCAAAAGAAAGATCCTCCACAAGATGGATTGGTGCGGTGACTGTAACAATGGACTCAAATAATATCAGAAAAGGTGAAATTGGCAAAAGATAGAGCAGAGTTCAGATTCCTTGTTTATAAGGGTGATTTGAGTCACATTCCACTTTATGGCACCAAAATAACAACCAATGAACTTCTGAAATAAAAGATTTCTCCGTACCTTTTCAATCTATATACAGAAGAGATCATTCGGGAGACTGGGCTTTATGAGGAGGAATGTGGCATTAGGACTGGAGGAAGACTCATCAACAACCTGTGCTATGCAGATGATACCTTGCTTGTTGTCACTGAGGAGGACCTGAAACGCTTGATCCAGAAGGTCAAGGACTGTAGTCTTCATTATGGCTTGAAGTTCAACATTAAGAAAACATAGATTCTCAACACTGGGCCAATTGGCAGCACCATGATAGATGGAGAAGAGATTGAAGTTGTTAACAATTACCGCTTGCTTGGCTCCACAATCAACACTTTTGGCAACAACAGTCAGGAAATCAAAAGATGAATTGCACTGGGAAAAATCTGTTCTCAGGAACCTCTCCAGAATACTGAGAAGCAACAATGTCAGTCTAGAGACTAAGGTGCGTCTGATCCAGTCCATGGTCTTTGCAATTACTTGCTATGCATCAGAGAGCTGGGCAATGACTAAGGATGACAGAAGAAGAATTGAAGCCTTTGAGTTGTGCTGGAGAAGAGTTTTGAGCATACCATGGACAGCTAAGAAAACAAATAGGTCTGTCTTGGAAAGGGTGAAACCAAGTTTCTCCTTGGAGGCTAGGATTTTGAAGCTCTGCCTCACTTACTTTGGGCACATGGCCAGGAAGGACCAGTCCTTGGAGAAAGACATCATGTTTGGGAGGGTGGAAGGACAGCGTAGAAGAGAAAGACCCTGGCTGAGATGGAGTGTTACTGTAACTGGGGCAGTGGGGGTAGGTGTGTTGGAGTCAGTGAGACTGACTCAAGACAGGGCAGGCTTCCGAGCTGTTGTACATAGGATCACTTTGAGTCACAGGTGACTCGCCGGCTCGTAATAATAGCAACAACAGTGAGAAACTGTCTTTGTATTTAACCATGTTGAAATATAATTGTTTGTCCAAGTTCTTTATGCTAATTCTTAATGTCGTGCATCAGGGTTGTATCCTTTCTACATACCTATTCAGTCTGTATGCTGAGCAAATCATATAAGAAGTTGAACTCTATAAAGAAGAATTATGCGTATGACAGAAACTTGCTTGCTGTAAGTGAGGAGGACATGAAACCCTGTAGAAGACCAAGGGCTATAGTGTTCAATGTAGATTACACCTCAACATCAAGAAGACAAAAATCTCACCACTCAACTGATAAACAATGTTATGATGGAGAAAAGATTGAAATTCTCAATGATTTATTTCATCTTACTTAGATCCACAGTCAACACCCTTGATGCAAGCAATCAACATGTCAGGAGACATACTCCAGTGGGAAAGTCCACCACCAGAGACCTCTCCAAATTGCTGAGGAGCAATGATGTCCATTTGAAGACTAAGGTGCACCTGCTTCAGGCCATGATCTTTTCAGCTGGTTGCCAAGTGTCCGAGATCTGGGCAGTGAATAAGTATGACAGAAGGAGTGTTAATGCCTTTGAGTTGTGATGTTGGAAAAGAACACTGAATAGCCCACAGCTTGCCAGAAGTTCAGACATGTCTTGGGAAAAGTGTAGCCAGAGTGCTCCTTGAAGGCAAGGGTGGAGAAACGTCCTTCATGTCACATACTTTGGGCATGTTGCAAGGAGAGGCTGTTTCTTGGAGAAGGACATCATGCTTGAAAGGGTAGAGGGTCAACAAAAGTCAAGAAGACCCTCAATGGGTTAGAGTGACAGGGACGGCAGCAGTGGGCTCAGGTATGCCAGAGATGACAAGGATGGCACAGGACTGGAAAAGGCTTAGATCTGTTGGGTTGCTGTGATTTGAACTAACAATAACAATAACAACAATCCTTATTTCTTAATGTTGTGATAAGAGTGCTCCTCTAGTGCTCTAAAAAGAAGTCACTGTTTTTCATCAGTCTCTGAAGTTGTTACAAAACATAGATAGAATTCTTAAAAATGGTTCATACTTAACATAAATTTATACATCAAATAATGCCTCCCAAAGCTATCACACAGGCAAAGATAGATCTATTAATTGACTTAGCTGTTCTTCATGGCTGTTATAAGTAGATTCCACAATTTTTTACTTTGTTAAGGGAAATTGTCATTTTCTTTTTAACTTTTAGATTTTGAATACAGATACTCTGTTTGGTATTTGATAAGAATGATTCGTTTTCTGTTTTGTATTAATTGCATGGAATGCATGATTTCTGAAGGACACAACAAGTAGCATAAGATCTACAAAGGTGAGCACAGGAGCCAAGAGCCTAGGACAGCCTGCGCTTCTCTGTGTTCGTTTCCTCTGCAGATTTAAAGACCTGGGCAGAATGGCTTATTCGACCCATCCAAACTTTTCAGTCACTGTATGTTCTAAGTAACTAAAGCTTTTTAAATTTTTTTTTTCATTTTAGCCATTTAGAAGATAATTATTTTGACAGTAGTTTAATGCTATGTAGCTTTCTGACATAACGTATTATTGCACCTCATCTTTGCTTGCTGTTTCAGTCATTTTAAATACCAGTATTAGACTTCAGTACCCTGATACCCAGAACGTTCAGAGTGAGGAAAGAGAATGAACAGAACAGTTTGCTATTTTGTGTTGATTCCAGACTGTTGTGCTTTTGCCATGTTTTGTCTATTTTATTTACCGTTTTATAGGCTTTAAGGTTTTTCTGTTGCCAGGCATCATGGTCTCTTTGGACCTCTTTAGTTGCTGTGACTTTTGAAACAAGTACTCAGTCATGTTAGAGTTGCACATAAAGTCAGGGCTTTTGGAAACTGCTGTGTGATCTCGAGTATGTAAACTTTTATATGAATGTTCAAAGGCCCCTTCCCTTTTTATTGTTGTTTTGCCTTTCTAAATATATACCTTGACTATAAATGGCAAATTATCGTGGCTCATAAAATTGTGACATCAGCAAACATTGAATGTGCACCCATCATGCTATTTGAATATCTTTGGTAGGAGACATTCTTCAAATCTTATTTGTCTCAAGAGAAGAAAAACACAGAAGTCTCAATCACTTGAGATTTTTGGTGGATGGCTTTAAAATTTCCGAGCCTAATGTTTGTCTTTTTTGTGTCATTGTTTAGAAATCTCTGGGACATTTGGATAATGTGACAGTTGTGATGCAGTGATGTCGTCTCTCTGTCCACCACCATCTCCAGCTGTTGCCAAGACAGAGATTGCTTTAAGTGGTGAATCACCTCTATTGGCAGCTACTTTTGCTTATTGGGACAATATCCTTGGTCCTAGAGTAAGGCACATTTGGGCACCAAAGACAGAGCAAGTACTTCTCAGTGATGGAGAAATAACCTTTCTTGCCAACCATACCCTAAACGGGGAGATCCTTCGAAATGCAGAAAGTGGGGCCATAGATGTCAAGTTTTTTGTCTTGTCTGAAAAGGGAGTGATTATAGTTTCTTTGATCTTCGATGGGAACTGGAATGGAGATCGAAGTACCTATGGACTATCAATTATACTTCCGCAGACAGAGCTCAGTTTCTATCTCCCTCTTCACAGAGTGTGTGTTGACAGATTAACACACATCATCCGGAAAGGAAGGATATGGATGCATAAGGTAAGTCCTTTAAACCTTAGTTATTGCACTAATGTTGCCATTGGTGGTTTATCTTCTGATGTATTCATCAAACTTTTATACAAATAATTTGGAGGAAAAAGCTGTCATGTATTTAGTTTGTGTCCTATTTGATAGGTATGTCCATCTCGGGTAGTATCCCTGATCTGTCTAATCACCTTGCAAAGAAGTAGGGCGTAGCACCACATTGAAACCCAAATGCTAGAGCTTAGAAAAATTTAAACCCATAACAAGTTTGTCCTGAAATCCTTTGAGTCAAGAGCTGTCTGCTCTCTGTGCATTGCATAGAGTTGTACTTAATACAATGTGTCACGATAGGCAATGAGAACTTGCTTCCTAAGTGGTTGGATATGTTGCCTTCAGTTTTGTTTTGTTTTTTAAGTTTCTTTCTCAGGTTCCAAAGTCTGTAAAGTGATAAAATTAGATTAACTCATTTCTAAGAGCTGCTTCCTTTTAATTTTGCAGATTAAGCAAAAAGAAAATATCGTTACCACTGAATTCTGTAGTTCAGTATTTAGTGATATTTACTTTTCCATACACCTTTGACAAATCTAAAAACAAACTGAATTCTCCTTCTTGTTTTCTGATTTGATTGTAATCTGGCAGCCTATTTAAGCATTAGTATATTTTTTTACATCTTTTGCCAGATAGAAAGGGCAAATATAATCTTTCTAAATGCTGTTGTTGTTGCTTTTTTTTTTTTTTGGCTGTGTTTTCAGCCTTGCTTTTTTAAAAAAAAATTTCAAATCAGGAGGCTCTTCCTTCCCCAGATTAAAAAGTAAAGATCATGATTTTCTTTTGTGAAACTATTCAGATGTTAGCTTATTATTTTCTGCTTAATTGCCTGGTTTTGATTTTAGAATAAAGAGTGGTTTTATTTTGTCTATGACAGCATAGATTTGTTGGTTAATGTTCTGGTCTTTTTTTAAGTTTTTCCTTTTTCCCTGAAGTGGAAAATACTTTTCCCTGAACTAAATTACACACTTAATTAAGTCTGCCACTTAATGAGGTTTGGAAAATAATCATCTTTAAAGTCATTAATTAATAAACTTTCTCTCACTCAGGAAAGGCAAGAAAATGTTCAGAAGATTGTCCTAGAAGGCACAGAAAGAATGGAAGATCAGGTAAAATGTCTCTTCCTGCGTACAAACAAATGTCAGTAATCCCACTGTGTATTCCTTGTGAAAGACTGAGAGTACCTTTCACTCCTGCATATAAGGCATATTCTGTGAACAGACTTAGCCTAAAAAGAAATTGAACCTTTAGAGAGAGATACGCAGAATAAATGGAATGAAAGTTTCCATGTCTTGGACTTTAAAACAGAATTACCATTTGAGTTAATTCTGACTCATAACAGCCCTGTATTTCCTAAGGCATGGCTGATGGCTTCAGAAGTCAACTGCTGTGCCCTAGGGTTCCTTGTTTTAGACTCACCACCACCTCTCATTGCTGCTGAGTTGGAACCGTCTCATAACTGGCCTTCCAGTGGGTTTTCAGAGGCAGTCAGTTGCACTGCAGATTACTCATCTCTCTCCTGAGGAGCTGCTGGTGGTTTGAAAGCACCTGCTTTGGGGTTGGTGGTGTAAATCCTTACTCACTAGGCCACCAGAAAGCTTCCTTTTTTAAACTTTGTTGTAGTTTGCCATTGTGTCATAATCAACCCATCATTGACCCTCCAGCAGATTTGCAGAAGTAGTAAATTGTAAATTTCAGCAGCAGTAAATTGAAGAATGAGTGTGTTGTCAGGATTAGGCAGAATGAATTTATGAATAAAGTAAGTCATTTGTGGACTTACGGCTTAGGAAAAAAATTCTGGAGACACATCACATTTAAACTCCCAAGCAAGTTAAGGAACTCAACAATTGTGTTAGGTTACCAAAGACTAACTCCAGTGTTGTTTTTATGTGCTGTCAAGTCACCTATCACTCATAGAGACCCTATGCATAGTTCTGAACCCTACCTTATCTTGAACCTATCTCACAGTCTCTTGATACACCTGCTCCCATTGCCATAGTTACAGTGTCAATCCATCTTATCCAGGGTCTTCTGTACTGACTCTCCACCCTTCCAAGCATGATGTCCTTCTCCAAGGACTGGTCTCTCCTGGAAACCTGCCCAGAGTATATGAGATGGAGTGTTAAAATTCTTGCCTCCAAGGAGCAGCTCAGCTTCACCCTGTCCATCTATTCTTTTGTTATCCATAGGCGTTGTCCAGCTCTCTAATGCATAGCAAGTAATTATAAAGACCATGGCCCGATCAGGTGCACCTTAGTCTCTAGACTAACATTGTTGTTCTTTAGCACTCTTGAGAGGTCCTTGATAGCACACTTTCCTAAAACAACTCATCTTTTGATTTCCTGACTGCTGGTGCCAAGAGTTCTGGTTGTGGATCCTAGCAAGATGAAATTGGTAATAATCCCAATCTCTTCTCTATCTATCTGAATGCTGCCAGTTGGCCCAGTGAATAAGAATTTTGTTTTCTTGATTTTGAGCTTTAATCCACATTGAAAATGAAGTTCTTGACCTTCTGCAGCAAATGCTTCAAGTCCTGTTCAGATTTGGCAATCAGGGTTGTGTCATCTGCATAATGCAGGCTGTTGATGAGCCTTCTCCAATCCTGCTGTCACATTCTTCATCATAAAATCTAGTGTCCTGAATGATCTTTTCTGCTTATATAAATTGAAAAAGTATAGCGAGAGGACACATCCTTGATGCACCCCTTTTTTCTTTCCTGATTTTGAACCATGCAGTGTTTGTTCTGTCTGGCAACTGCTTCCTGGTCCAGTTATAGGTTTCACATGACCATAATCGAATGTTCTGGGACTCCCATTCTTCTTAATGTTAGCCCCAATTTTTTGTGATCTACTTAGTCAAAAGCCTTTGCATAATCTCTCTGTTTTCAGTCAAGATCCGTTTGGCATTGGCGATCATACCCTAGTGCCATGGCTTCTTCTAAACATAGATTATATTTCTGGCATTTCTCTATCAGAATTGTTCTTGTAATTTTTGGATAATCTCCAGCAAGATTTTGCTTGCTTACAACTTTAGTGATATTGTTCAATAATTTCCATGCTGTTGTATCTTGCCTTTTTGGGGAGTGGAAATAAATAGGAATCTCTTCCAGCTAAATAGTTGTCCTCCACATACCTTGCCGCAACCTGGAGAGCACATCCAGGGCTGCATCACGCTCTAATTTTGAAGGTGAATATCATGAAATATGTGTGATAAAACATCATTTTTAAAATTTTAGCTAAAAGTCAGTGTACTTTTGACAATTTCATATACATCTCCAAGGTTTTACATATTCAAAGTGGTCAAGCAACGAGTGGGGCTATTCAGTAAATTAGAAATAGCTGTTGGAATAGAACTGAGAACCCAGAAATCAGCCCATCTACCTAAGGGGAACTGATTTTTGACAAGGAGATGAAATCAGCTTAAGTGGGGAAACAACAGCCTTTTTAACAAGTGGTGTTGGCAAAATTGGAAAACCATCTGCAGAAAACTCAAACAAGGCCCACACCTCACACCATACACAAAAACCAAATCAGAGTGGATCAAGGACCTAGACTAAAACCAAGGACTAATAATTTCATTAAAGAAAAGCTTGGAAGAACCCTAGAAGCACTAATCCACAACTTGAACAGTCTTCCAAGCATTCTGAAAAACCTACAACCAGGAGAAAATAAAATAGATGAATGGGACCTTCTAAGAGTAAAATCCCTATGCACATTCAAAACCTCCAACAGGCGAGCGCTGGTGGCCTAGTGGCAGAAACTGCACTGCAATCCCAGAAATGTTAGGTTCGAATCCACCAGATGCTCTGCTGAAGAAGGAGGGACAATCTCCTCCTGTACCAGTCAGATCTGATTTGACGGTACACACATAAAAAAAAACAAAACAAAACAAAAAAACAACAACTCCAACAGGGTAAAAAGGGAAACCACAGACGGGGGGAAGAATTTTGGTAATGACATTTCTTATAAGGGACTTATATCTAGAATTTATAGAATACTTGAAGACCACAATAAGATAAAGGTAAACAACCCAATTACAAAATGGGCACAGGATATGAACAGACACTTCACCAAAGAAGGCATTCAGATGGTAAACAAACACATGAAGAAATGTTCAAAATCCCTAGTTCTAAGAGAGATGCAAATCAAAACAACTATGAGATACCATCTCACCCCAGTAAGAATAGCAAAATTCAACAGAACAGCAAACAACAAATGCTGACTGTAGAGAAATTGGAACCCTTATTCACTGTTGTGCAACCACTATGGAAGGTTGTATGGCGCTTTCTCAAAAAGTTGGAAATAGAAATACCATTTGATCCAGCACTTCTACTACTGGGACTAGACCCTAAAGAAACCAGAACTACCACCCAAACAGATATAGGCACACCAATGTTTAATGCTGCTTTATTCACAATAGCAAAGAGATGGAAACAACCCAAGTGCCCATCAACAAACAAATGGATAGAGAAGCTGTGGTATATTCACAAATGGAATATTATGTATCACTGAAAAACAAGGAACTCATGAAATATACAAAATAGGTGACAATAGAGGACATTATGCTGAGTGAAATATCTCAGTCACAAAAAGAGAAGTACTGCATAGTGCCACTGTTACAGAACAGGACTAATAAGGGGGTAGGGCAAAATTAAGAAAAGGTGGGACAAACAGTGTATATGGCATTGAAATAGACAAGGAAGAGTATCATATAAAAGGAATATACTATTGAGTATTATTGGCATGACAAGAGACCAAAATAAGAGTTGCCTATTGCCTAGTAAGGGAGGAAGGGTGCAAGACTGTATAACAATGAAAGAACTTTTTCCCAAAGAAAAAAGCTAACTGGGGGGAAGGGAAAACAGGGAAGAAAATGTGCAACAATGAATGAATGGAAATCCAAATTCTTTATAAACTTTCATTAAAATATAAAATAAAATAAAAAGGTAATAACTAACATTTGTATTGTTCTGTACTGAGTCTTTCTTTGATTTCTACAAATTGCAAATTTCAAAGTTACACTTTTGAAATGTAATCTTGAAAAAACCCCAAAGGAAACTGGTTTTGATTCAAATATAAATTATGATACTGACTTACGGTTGAGTGGATTATTACTATTTCCATGTGGAAGTATTGGATATTGATTCAAGCTTTACTAATTTATTTGCTAAGAATTTCAGATATTTTCTAAGCTTGGCATTTTTCATTTTTCAATATGAACCATATTGATGACCTTTACTCAGCAAACATTTTTACCTCTTCAATTTCAAAGGAGATCCTTCTTTTTACATTTACTAGCATTGTGGGTTAGTGGTCTGGTACTAAGGAGTTGTTCTGCCAGTTTAAACGTAGAAAGAAATCTAATAGACTAGCTGTTGCACAGAAGGAAGATGAACAATCTCCTCCTGTACAACTTACAGCCCCCAAAAACCTGCTGAAGGGTCGGTTCTGAGTCAGTTTCTACTTGACAGCACGGAACAACATCACCACATAGTGATTAACTTAGTGCATGCAACAGTAAATGTTAAACCAATGATTGTGTGCTGACAAAATAAAATGATTCTTACAAGAACGAAAATGTTTTAAATAGCATGTAAATTCTTTAGAAAGTATTTTGAATAGCAGGCTTGTTTAGAGCAGGATTTAAGTATTAAGTTGTCAAGTGTTTCCATCAAGGACTATCATTGTTTGCTTTTATTTTTAGTTGTTTCATTGCCCAGCTTATCCCATAGTGTGTACTTTTTTGCCTCACTTTTCCTCATTTCTGCAGGGCCAGAGTATTATTCCCATGCTTACTGGGGAAGTAATTCCCGTAATGGAACTCCTTTCATCTATGAAGTCACATAGCGTTTCTGAAGAAATTAATGTAAGTTCTTTATTAGATTATTCAATAGAAGTCAAACTAGCCCTCATCACTTGTTTTGAGTTAACTTGTTCTCTGTATTGGTAATATTCTAATTTTAGGGGTATATGCTTTTGTTATGTCTTGTGTATTATTATATGATTTATTATACACTTTAACAAAAAGCCAGCCTAAAATCTTGAATTTTATGGCCAGAGACTTCTTTGATCAGAAATAGTTAGGGTGAAATTAAATCTATTTATTTTGTTTTACCACATTTGTTCTTCCCAGAGGTGGGAGACTTCCTGAGTTTGCAGAAGTAATCAGTATTAAAATAGTGTTCATGACAACAAAGCACTGCTGTCAATGGATGCTTGTTTGTATTTACTGATGTAGTCTCCGTAATTGTTTATTAAGGACACTTTTTT